TTAATATGTTCAATATTTGAATTCAATGATACAAAATCATTGTTATCGAAAAAAACGAAAATTGATTCTGAGCGAAGACGGTATTTGTTTACCTAGCTAAGTATATTTTATGATATTATTCTTATTGAAGTAATATTGTTTACTATTAGTAATACAATACAGTAAGTTATTGGTCCATGAATAATATTTTTAAATTACAACAAAATAACTAAAATCTTTATTCTCCGTTTAAGTATCTAATTTCATCCAAATTTGAACTTAAAACATAAATTAAAAAAAATACGGTAAGATTACGTTTGTAATATAAACATTCTTTGTGACTAAAATATTTAAGATTTACAAATATTCATTTTTAAATATGTAAATAGTTGACAAATAAACTTTGAATATGTGTTAACATTATATCAACCAAAACTTAAAAAAACTAATATGTATTAACTATAAATTTAAAAAAACTGATGGTCTGTTAATTTTGATAAAATTAAAATAAATGAATTCTTTCAATGGAATTTCTTTGAAGATTTTCATTAATTTATGGCCCTTGCCCCGGCCAAGGAATAGCTTGTATACAAATGCATTAATATTACCGGTTTTGCACTTACCCTGGTGGCAGTTTTTTATTTTAATAATTTTTTTTCAAATAAAAAATTATCAAAACACTTTTTTGAATAGATATTTGAATTCCTGATACGTTCATTAATAGATGATAAAAAATTATGTTCCACGTAAGAATACAGTAAGATGGTATGTTCCATTAACCTGAGATTTTGAAAAACCCCACCTGACTTATTACATTTTTAAGCTTTTTGACCAAATGCAATTTAATTCATTGTTATTAATTATAGTCAAAATATAGGAAAATAACAAAGTAATTATAATAATAAAAATTGTCTTGTTATCTGAAACATCGTTTTGCCTCCGAGGTTTAACATCGTTGTCGCTATAAATAATACTCTAATCGCAGTATGATAATAATAATTACTGAAATAATGGAATTTTAATAAACATACAAAAACGCTCCTCTGCTCTCGCATGGTTGTATATTATATATTTGTCAATATTTCATATTATATTGATCTTCGCTTGGTTGCCCCTGGTTACGCCTTACGCACTGTGTGCTGACTTCAAGCCCAACGACGTTCGTAAGTCGTGGACCACGGTACCCATAATACTTGAATATATTAATTAATAATTATTCTCCCAATTTATTCTATCGCCTCGAAAATCAATCTAAACTTATTTGTTGTCTATTATTATATGTTTATAACTTTCATCAATCAATTCGTTTTTTCACTTCATATTATTAAATTATAGACAATATTTTTATTCTATTATCATGATGTTTAATTATCGAATTAAGATATTAATTAAGCGTATTCAGAAATATAATAATTATATACCATGCTCCCCAAAAACCTAGCAATGTACCTATTTAACATTTTAACATATGACTCACGCAAATTCATGAATGGCAATTTATCACTATGACCTGTAGTACAGGTTGGCTTACAAAATTATAGTTTCATATACCCACCATAAATCACACCAACAGTTGTATCGATCCCACAACTACATACTTGAAAACAGGTGGTATAACAGTAAATATTAAATATTCATCCATGATTCTTTTTCATTTTGGAAAGATTATTGTAAATATTATTCAAGTAATGCATAATATAATAATATAGTACAGAACATTTTAAAAATACCAAAAAACTATTCATTAAAACTCTATTTCTACAAAAAAAAATGAATCGTTCATTTATTTTGTTACAGCCCATTGTTAAAGTTTTTACTGTTACATCATAATGACAATCTGTAGGTAATATTTTAAAATTTATTTCTGTGTGGTTATGATCTTTAGCCCTATACTTATTTACTTAGATATATTATATCGAACATTAAAAAAATGATTGTTCTTTATAATAATTTGAAATTCATAGAATATGTGCAAAGTGGTGTAGAAATTGGGTTTCACTAATACGTTCTTCCATATTAGGTATATAATATTACAAAATTAGTTCTGTAGGTCTATTAATAAAAAAAATTCACCCACATATGTTGTCGCCGTCTTAAACGTCTATATCAAATTTTACACTCCACGTTTAGCACCGTTAATTTTAAACCTCTTATGCAATTTAAAGGTCAGAATATTATTCAGGGCATCTACTTTAAAATTGAAATATAACAAAACGCCGATGAGATACCCTACATAATATTCTTACCTTTCAATTTTATATGAGGTCAATTCACTCTAATTTTAAAATGAATGGGGCTAAACGTGATTTGCTGAGCGTACAATTTGCTACGTCGTACACGTGTAAGACGGAGTCAACGCATGAGGGTAGGACGTCCTGTTAAAAGTAATATACCTACATAAATTAATATTAGGTACCTATATTTAAGAGTTGATGATAGTAGTTAACAAACTTTTAGTTCCATACACATAGGTTGGCAGGTGTTCTATTTTAATCTAAGATCGATACTTAAATGTGTAATTATATAGAAAATTCAAAATAGACAGATACATAAGCAGGTCATCGCCCTCAGCCAAACATCTTTCGGCACGTGCGTCAAAGCACTACGCGTTCGAGACAAAATGTCGAATATTAGATTGAATTTGACGGTTGCTCCTTAGCAACGGATGTGTCACGTTATATATATATATATTTATATAAATCTCTGCTGCGAACCCGGCCACCGAGCCCCGGGTAAAGTCTAAAAACGGCATCGCAAACAATACCTCCACCCTCTCCAGTGGGATTTGACTTTGAGGCGGTTAGGCAAAGGCCTTAAGCGCTGGCGGTGGTGCCGTGGTGGGCGTTCGGAGAGGACCGTTATGCGACTACGCTGCGTATAACCCAGCATTTCCAAACATTAAATTATATATCAGAATTCGGGTCAAATTTCGACGCAATACAAATATACTGTTAAGCCGTACCCTGATACGCAATAATATAATATTACGTTTCTACATTATCAAAATAATTTATGTGCATAGAGTGGTTTATCCCGAAGTAGTAGTGATGGTGAAACCATAGACAATATTATACAAAGGATAGGAAATTCGTATATGAATAACATAGCTGTTATAGCTCATTATATTCGATATGTGATTTATTATATTTGTTGCGAAATATCTAGAATGAAGTATTTTACCTAGATTTACACCATTTATTTCTTGTAATTTAATTAAATTATCGTGATCAGAAAACGGTCTATTTTGCATTGCAATATAATAATAATATGCTGTTCTAAATACCTTAATTGTTGTCTGTTCGTGATCGGCTATACTTTTTTGCATAGACACTTCAATGGATTTTTATTTTCAATCTTTATTTATTTTGTCAGCAAGATAGTGCCTTTCAGATTCATAGTGTTTTTTAATTATGGTACGAAGATTTGATAGTTGGCTGGTACGATATTTCCCCGAAGACTCAATTAAACCATTACTCCACTCATTAGAGATACTTCATCTTTCTTTCTTTGCAGCCCCAAAGCATGTTATAGATGAACAAATATTACATCCTAATTTTCCATCTGCACTAACAATCCACGGATATTTTCCTTTAAATTCGATCCATTGAGACTCATTCCATACCATTGGCCATTTTTTGCTTTCGATATTACTGTTGCTACTTCTAGGACTCACTAACGTTACATTATAGGTGGTTTTAGATATATCTGGTAAAATAATATCATTAATTTTTTTATTTTATTTGGAGGGTTTTTATTATTTTCCGATTTCCTATTTCTTTTAACAAACTTCCCGTTTTTAACCAACTATCCATATTATAACTGCTTATTAAAATAGATTTTCAAATAAAATAGAAACTTACCTTTTTATTGATTGACTTTACATAACTTATACTCAGATATGATATAATGAATCACTTTCAATGGCAAAATGAAAAATGAACGGCATACACTACACAGTATTGAGTATACAGTACACACAACATACGGTAATGTGCGACGGCTGGACATTTTATTTTCATCTTAAATACAGAAATTACAGCACTAATGTTATTTGATTGTTATATTATCTAATCTACAGTACATTGACATAAATCGCCCAATATATATATTTCATTATACATAATAATATGTTTATATAAATTATGTTTTATACAAATTGTCTATCTTAACATTCTTAGTTTTTTTCAATTAACATAATTCAAACAAAACGTTCAATTGTCAAAATGATTAGAAGACAATGAACAATAAGACACTAGAAAATGATTCAAGGGTTTCATTTGAAATAAATTTCAAAAGGAGGCGTAGGAACGTGCACAAGTGTACAGCTAATAATAATAATAATAATGTAAAACAATACTATATTATGTAAATATCTAATTTAAACTAAATATACAATAATTATTGATATCAAACATTGAATTGTAATTATTTATTTTATTCTATTACATTGAGGTCTAGCAATAGCGTAACATTTCAGGGTCAATAAGTAATCTATATTTCTTTTATTTTTATAATAAAAATGATGAAGACAATAATAATGATAATTATAGTACTTAATATAAATGCGTAAAATACGAAGGGCACTATGGGCGATTTGAGTATTATTTCGGTAAATTATTATCGCGGTTTGTCAATTTATTGCGTTTGTTGTTGTGGGGTTGGGTCAATAATATAATGGGCAACCTGTGGCCCGGATGCGCCGACGCATCAATAGACCACCCCCAAAAACCAAGAGCCTGTAAGCTCACTCAAACGTATTATCATAAGATAAACTTTCGGCTACAGTTCGGCAGTAGTCGTCTAATATACCTACTGTCGGCTGCCCCCATTGATTTTGTCCTATCGTCCTCGTGACAGTCGTGAGTCGTGAACCGTGGAGCAGTCTATCATTATCATCGTTTCCTTAGATACTGATGTTCGCTCAAACCACCTACCAATACTCACTTTAATTTTTTTCTCGAAAAACTCTGATCAGTAGGAATTTTTAAAATTATTTCTGTTTTCATTATATTGTTTTTGCGATGAACTGCACAAAGTCTGTTCTTTCCACCACACCGAAGAAACCCAAAAAGCCCAACTTCAACTCCTGCGTGAGGTGCTTAAGGTCCAAAAAAAAAGGACATGACATTTCTTTGCACAAGTAAGCGTTGTCACATTGTTGTTATAATATCGTTACCTATAATTATACAGTAAGTTCTCGTTACAACGAACTCCAAGGGACCACATTTTTTTTTCGTTATAACGGAAATTTCGTTGTAAGGTCATTAGAAAAGCTTAATAGCTTTTCTGTAGGGGACTTCTAGGACTTTCGTTATAACGGGATTTTTCGTTGTATCGGTATTCGTTGTAACGGGAACTTACTGTACATGTATCAATCCCTTATGTTATTCTTATTTTATCTAACTGAATACCTATAGGGGTTTCCATTTTCTACCAAAGTGACCATTGTCCGTTATTACCATTTCAGTTTTCCGCCAAAATTATATTTCTATTGTTTTCACCATAAAAATACAATATTAATTTTTTTGGTGGAAATCGGTCATGGTGATATTAAAGTACTGATAACGGATGAGGGTTACTATGCGGAAAACATTTACGCCCGCATACCAATATATATTTATCTGTCGCCAGATTCCCAAAAGATCCCATAAGACGAGCAGTTTGGCTTGCAAACTGTGAATTTGTGGAAAAAGAAATTGAACATAATAGATTGTTATGCTCTTCCCATTTTGAAAAAGATTGCATCATCGTACAACGCAACAGAAGGGTATTGAAGAAATCCGCCGTGCCTGTTATTTTTGATAAGAAAAAAAAAAATAAAAGCAACAAAAAACGAAGTCAACATTCCCAATCTTTGGAAAAAACAGGTAAAATTATAATTTATACACCTATAATTATTGACTTATGACCAAATAATAATTTTATTTTCATTATAAAATTGATTGGCCTGCAGTTACAAGTAGTAACTGCCAAGTGTATATTTTGATCCTGCTGCCGAAGTTTATTTTGGTTGAACCAATTGTTCAAAATCCTGTTCCTACGACACATACTCAAGATACTCGTACATCTGGGCTTTCAGGTTAGACTATATTATTTTGTAATTAATGTTTAATAATCAAAATAACTAAGTAATAACTAATAATTATTATAATGAGGCTGTTGTTTTGATTTAGTAGCAAATACCTACATTAAGAAACTTCAAAACTCAATTTCTCTATGAATACTAATATTTATACAAATATTTGTGGTGATTACTACATATTACTATCTTAAAAAAAAATGTATTCAATACGAATTTAGGCCTATGTGTTAAAACATCCCTGCTCCCACCTCCACAATGTAATAATTGGTAACATACTAACATCTAAAATAAAGGTTCAGCACATTTAAATATATTTAATATTCTCTATTTTGTCGATTGTGGGTAGGTATCATATTAATATGTCATTACCACCGCAACAACAATATTATAGTATTCAAGGTCATGAGAGGAACAGCTGGTCTCACAGATATAATATGTTCTCTTTATTATGTATTGTTTTATTATATTGTTATAGGTTATTATTGAATGTGTCTTCACTGTCTTGTAATTTAGGTACCTAATATTATGTAGATTGTACACAGCGCGGTATCTCATTCCGCCGCTCAGTCTGCGCGAATATCCCATAACACGGCCGCCTTGATTTTTGGCTCGTACCTATACCGTATGGGTAAACAATGGTAAACAACACGTGCCAAATAATAATATATTTTTCTATTACTCGAATAGTAAAAAAGCGTCACTGTTTTGCTGTTTTTTTTTTATCGTTGTGAGCCATGATGCCTATCGATAGGTAGCACATTAATTGTTATATTATTGAATGTTGGACGTAAATCGCTGCTAACATAAATTTATTATATTGCACTTTTCTAAGTCTATTGTTTTAAATTATTGGTATGTGCCCAAATCGCCTTCACTTGTTATATTAATTTCATTTGCTCTCCATAAATTATTGTGAGTTTTAATTATTATTTACTTTACAGCTTATATACCTATTGTTGAATCAGAAAGTTTATAACATATTATTATCTTTATCTTAATACTTATACGAGCTTACAGCTCTAATAGCTGCCCATATTATATGTATTTCATTCTATTTGGCCATAAGGGCTGTGCATTTATTATTATTATAATTTTATACATTTGTGTTGCTGTGATGTGACAACACCCTGCCATAGGGGAACTGGTTTCGATAGCAAGGCGACTCGGGGATGAGCAGAATCAGCGCGTTCTCTCACTGTACAGAGTATAGTATGAATTGTAAACACACCCACACGGCCATGCGCATGAACACTAATTATTCTCTAAGTATTCACAAATATACATTTTACACAACATGCGTTTCATAACTCGACAGTGTTTACCCAGCGATCCCTACCACTACTGTTAAAGCTATTACAACACTACTCCGTACTCGCCCAGCTATTCCTCCAAATTCTCAAGAGGACGTCACACCCGCATGTGTTTTCTCCGTCTTACATACTCATAACACAGACAAAACGCGTTTACGCAGTCTGAGTATAACTCGCTCAATTTCGGTTTTAGAGTAAAAATACCTATTATTAAATTGAATTGTGACAATATTTCTGAGGGCAAGTCATTGCGTTTTTTCCATTATACCCAATATAACGTGCATTATATCGTTTAGAAATAGAAAATATTTAAATATTTTTAAAATACCTTTAACTTTTTTTAATTAAAATTGAAAAAAAAAACGCAACGACTTGATCTCATAATTAAAATATTGTCACAATTCAATCTTACAATAGGTATTTTATTGCTCTAGAACCAACACTGAGCGTGTTATACTCAGACTGCGTAAACGCGTTTTGTCTATGTCGTACGTGTGTAAGACGGAGACAACACACGATGGTGTAACGTCCTCTTCAGACCTAGTGGGGCGCAAAATTAAATTGGTGTCCAGGCACGCGTATTACTGCTGTACGCTCGTGGGCCGTGGCCCGTACACAAGCAGTACCTATGTCAGATACTCAGAATTCTGATGTTTAATCAGTGTACGTGTTTCCTTAATATATTTATATAGGTACCTACCTACTTAACCTTTTTTAATCATAAATATTAAATTAATTAATAACAAACATCCAATTGGTATAATGTATAAACAATTTGAATTAATTTTTATTTATATTAATTGATTGTTCATTAGATATTTAACGAATATTTACTAATTAACTAAGCACAGTATAATATATAAAGTTAGAATACCTATTAGAATCTGTAGATATCCATATAATGTATCTATAGTATAATAATAGTTATCCTTGAGGGGCCTCACTGCTGCCTTCAATTTTATCTGAAAAGTCCTAAAGTATTGACAAAATTAAAGTTAGTTAACGTTGTCCGATTTTAGTTATGAAAAAAAATTTGAACTCACCAGAAAATTGTCTATAGATCCTACGAAGCACTTTGTAAAAACTAAATTTTATACTATTGTGAACTGTAATTGAAAACTTGAAAATATCAACTTTTTCGAATCATAATTAAAATTAAAATTAATATTAAAAACGGAAAATGTTTCGTACTATCTACAGACATTTTCTGCTGAGTTCAAATATTTTTTTAGAATCAAAATCAGACAACGTCAACTAACTTTAATTTTGTCAAAACAAATGTATGTTTTTGTACAATTCATGTAGTGGAATTTATATTATGGTTATCGGGTTATTAACGTGTGCATGCGCGTACGAGAGAGGATACCCGCATTTAATATTTCACTCACACTAATAATCATTTACAACGAACACATAGATCCCGGGCGGCTATGACAAGATTAGAAATTGCCTAAATGTTGCTCCTTAAATAATGACCGTGGCGAGGCCCCTTAACTAGTTGTTTGTGATGAAGTCAAAATAACATATATATTATACCAAAATATGGGTAAGGCTTGCACAAAATATGTAAATTCATATTTTTTAATTTTAGAAACTACACTACAGATAACGGTTGAAGATTTGGAAAATCCAGCTGCTGGTGTTATACCAATGTCGGTTCTAAGACAATTTACTGACCAATTGTCAGGTAAAATATAATATGTACCTATTAATTATAATTATTTGTGACTACAGTTCATCTACCTGCAAGTACCAGGTATTCGTGGGAATGATGGAATTACATACATGGTATATTATTGTGATAAAATTTAACACATACTTTGCAGTGGTTACTGTTCCTCAGTGATGTGGTAGGTAGTAGGTACCTATATTTGATAATAACAATAATCATATTAGAGAGACAGAGCGATCGGCTTCTATTTATTTTTGGAATTTTTGACTTTTTCCAAATGACCCTTTGTTTCTGGGGTTTTTGTCCAGAAATCGATTATAATCATATTATTAAGTTAGTTTAATAAATTATTATGGTCATATATTCATATGTTATAACGGATATTCTAATTTATTGTAGGTTACTCTTTGGATCCTGAGAAGAATAATGGAACCAATGACGTTCCTATTTTTCCTGAGAATAATTAGTTTATTGACATTGAAACTTTTATTTAAGGTAAGTATCCGTTAGGAAAATATGACATCAATCAATATTAAATAATTAACAACAATGTTAATAGAAAATTATAATTAAAACATTTAAATCTAAAGAAAATTTAACCAAATTAATGAGTTTAAATTGGATTTTGTAAAAAATACATTATATGCTAAATAAATAAATATAATAGAAATTAAATTATGAAATGCTGTCTATATTTTTGTCAGTGTTTCATAAAAATATTAAATTTTAGTCGTGTCTCGAAAAGTCTTTATAACCAAGTACCTATTACCAATTATTTGGTCTCTAGATTTCTGAGATTTTTTTTATTAATTTACTTTTATTTGCAATGATTTAGTAAGTCTGTCTACCAAGTCCAAATAATTAGACTTGTATCATAGGTCATAAAATTAAAATTGATATTTGGATTTCTCAATATCTCTAAATGAAACAGAAGACTTTCTTTTAAATGTTTAACAATTTTTTTGAAAATTGTATCTTATTATAATATAATGTAATTTGGTATTTGATTATGCCAAACAATTAATGTGTTGTATGAATATTATTTAATCTTAACCTCACCATTAGGTACCTAGGTACAAAGTTATGAAGTGGCTTTTTGTTACCAATGAAAATACTATAGTTTTGTCCATAATCTATTTAATTGCATTCGTACATAAAACTTTTCTTATCGACATGAGATGTTATCCTGTTTTTTATTTTTTGTACCTATATAAAATAAACCTTTAAAATCAATTTTTTTTCGTATTGGTAATAAATGTTTTTATTTTTTAATTTACAGAATAATAATAATAATAATAGTATATTTGTGATTATTATAGGTACTTGCACAGGCAGGCAACAGCTCAATTAAATGCTGACAAGAAACAGAACTCAATTAATTAAAAAAAAACAATAATGGTACAAAATAAAAATAAATAACTGAATAAAATAAGATACATAGGTATACAAGATGATACAGGTTTCCAAAATTTGTTTTGGTAAATAATAATATTTTGAAAACATTTTAAAAGCATTCGTCATTAGAACATTTTTAAATGTTTCTGTATAATATTATTCTGGAAATCATAATATAAATTACTATATTTTAATTTGTATTCAAAAACATTCAGTATTTATCTTAAATAACTACATATATTTTTAAGGAATTTTAATTATTATTTACAGTTAAGTTGAACGGTGGGAGGGTAAAAGAAAAAAAATTTAAATTATTACTTTGAGAAACTTAAAAAAATCGGTTAAATCAATTATACAAATTATGATAACATTTAAAAATATATTTCTCTAATTAAAATTATTGATGTTAATCTGGATAATTATGCAAATATATGTTAACATAAGTAAAAATATTATGTTGATATATGAACATTTATGCAGGTATAATACCTATATTCCATTATATATAATTTACTTTAGTTTAGCCCACATTTTAGGCTATTTAAAATTTAGAGTTTTTGTCTTTTGGATTTTATGGATTTTATTAACCCTAAACATTTTAGTATATTCACGTTGGATATTTCTTCATAATATTGTATATTATTACTTTCCAATATCACCAGTTCTACAAGATCAGTTAAAATTATAGATAGGTTTAATATTATTTAATTTATATTGTTATTATTATTATTAAATACCTACCTACATATTTATAGTAATAATAAATAAATAAACACATATTAAATAAATAAAAATAATATAATATATTAATATATTAATACTAATTTATACTAATTATACCTAAATAATCTTTAACTGGGTTACTATTAGGTTGAATGATTTGTATCTATTCACTTATTCCCTACTAGGTACAAAAAAAGCTATCCAATATTTATCATATTACGTTGTATTCAAATATATTATATATGTATATTAATATACTTTTATTTTGTTTTTCATTACTAAATAGCACTAGCTTACCTTTGCTGATTGATAATTGCATATTGTATTTTTAATTATTTAAAAATTATTATTAGTTATTACATAGTACTATGCATTTTTAGGGCATCTAATATTTATCATGTATTGTATTAATATTTAATATATGTATAATTAGCTATTCATAATATACCTACTTTTATTTTATTTTATTTTTTTAGTATTTACTTACTTACTTTTGCTTATTGTTAGTTGTGTGTATTTTAACTTTTAATAAAGCAATGTTTGTGGTTTAAATAAAGTTAAGTTCAATTTATTTTTAAGTCAACCATTATATACCTAAGTATAATATTCATAATTTACTGTTTTAATATATTTATATATATCTATACTTCAAATAATATTATTCAGTATGTTAATTGTGTGTATCTTAATAGAATTGATATAGAATTAGTGATATAATTATATAAATTTAGTTAGTTATATGTCTGTGTAATAAATTATACATTAATAATAAATTGTACATTTGTACCTATATTGGCTTATAAATAATATAATAAGTATAAATGCAATGTTCATATCAATTTTCTTAATTTAAATTAATTTCCAATAGATAGTTACTAAGCGTTAAACTATACTCTGCATTAAATTAAAAAAACATAAAAGCTTGTTATTTATTGATATATTGCAATCGATCAAATAATAAATATTGATACAATTGTAAGAAGTTAAAAAATATTCAAAGAATAACTTCATTACCATATTTACAGTTGGTAGTTGGTACCATAAATAATACAAAAATGTTTGTATAACGTAGTCAATAAAAATTAATAATAATAATAATTGTTTATTCAAATGAATAGAAATGGCCAAATGCTCAATATTGCAGGTATTAAATACGTTGTTAGAATAAATTAATACTTATATATTATTACTAGCCGACCCGCCACAGCTTCGGCCGTGATTGGTTGCTTATTTTGCCTTCGGGCGATAATAATATGTATAATTTTTTATTCAAATGTTATCGTTTAATGTGATCGGCATTTGGCAAGCAAATATACAAAGCGGTTAATGAAAACGTGTTGAAATGTTTCTAGCAGTAGGTATTAATGATAAATATATTTTTATTAAATATAGCTGATCCCGTGCACTTCGTTGCCCGTTAAATGTACCAACTCTATATGACTGTAACTTTGTTCAATTCGTTATTTAATATTCGGTGTATGGCGTTCAAGACATAACTTAACTTTTCCGTTGCCCAGAATCAAAATTGTGATGCACAGAAATATATTAGCAGGTAGCCAATCTACCTGGGGTAGATCACGGACCCAGTGCTTTTTGTATGTAAGTGAGTAGTAACTAGTAAGTGGGTCCATAGAGGCGACACGCCACCGCCACCCGCCACACATCAACGCCACCCGCCACACATACCCAGGCCGACCGCCTGTGTTGGTATATACCTATGCTCGACGAAGCGTTTACGACCATAACTATCAATTAATATTTAATATAAAAATGCTCATTATGTAATGATTACACTGTAAATTGTAAACTACCTACATGATCACAAAACTCACTCCGACTGAAAAATAGGCGTCTCCAGACTTCAACACTCATCAGTAATTTTATTGAAACAGCTCTCATATTAGTGATGTTATTTCGTATCGCTTTTCTGGAACATAACACGATATTAGTAACAAATTTATGAGACAGAGTTGGCCAAAAAATTGATACCCACAGCGGAACATTTTTCTCTCATCTCTATTCATCTCTATAATATATATTTATATATTTATTGTATGGTCACGGACGAAGTTTTATTTTTCCAATATCACGGTCGGACGGGCCACTGCCACAACGCGGAACAAAAATAATATATCACTTATTGGATATTATAATGAAGTATCGTCAAAGATCGACCGACACGTTTCAATAATAACCGCTCAAACCAGGTTACCGGTCGTCATTAGTCTTGCACAAACAGTGCCTACAGTATTCGAATAATGTAGGTATTGAGATTGTTTGAAAATGTATTCAAACACGTTTTATTTCATAGTAACGACTAACAACGGTGTGACTGGTGCGTGGCGCAGAGGATATTTACTTGGCGTGTACGACTCAAATGCGTTAGTGACTCTAGTAAGTTATCTCTTTCGTCACTCTCAAGTAAATAGTACTATTTCGACTGATACTCCATAGTCGACGATGCAAGAGAGGTGGATATTTAAAAATAACATTTCCAAGCTTTCAAGTTCTTCTCAATAGAAGCATTTTAAAAACGGAAGTTTGTACTGTCACAAGACACTTCTAATCTAATACAAAAATGTCAACAATTCTAAAAGATGGTCTTCAAGTATATTTGAAAAATACATATTAAAATACATATGTATTTATGTATACTAATTTTAATAAATATTATTGTGTGAAGAAAATGGCGGTGTGTCTCCAAGCCCCACAATATAACTCGGATCACTTAGCTGATCATACGCACTTCGTTTCCTGTAAAAAATGACAGCTCTTAAAATTAAATTGTGATTACTCAACTCCTTTGGGGTGTAACTATCTTAACTAGGCGCGGTATTAATATATACCTACCGCCGAAGCGTTTGGTCGTAATCAAACGTATACTGTGCTGTGTTTTCCGCAGAAACGTCAACTCTCCAGTGAGTTGTCTGTTTCATCACTCTCAAGATAAATAATAGGATGTCAACCAATACTCCATAGTCGTCGGTACAAGATAGGTTTGGATATCTTTTGTACTTAAAACTAAAATGTCTAAGCGTTCAAGTTCTTCTTAATGGAAGCATTTTAAAAACGGAAGTTTATATTGCCACAAGGACACTTCTAATGCAATACGAAAATCTCAAAAGTTCTAAAATGTGGTCTTCAATTATATTTAAAAATATCTAAAAATCAGATATTATCGTCTTCTTAGTTCGCAAATCACTTAACTCCATATTGACTAGTTTTCAGGAGAAAGGAAAAACATTTCATCGGAAAATTTCCTATCTCATCTCTCAATTCGCAAATATCCTATCTTCAAAATTTTCACCATGCTAATATGGAGTTATGATTTTTTCTAATTGTTAAAATCATCACATCGGAGATACGATCATTTCTAATAATCAATGTCATATGGAGGATAAAAATATAAAATGTTACAATTTATCAGTTACAACTTTATCATACAATGCAGTTTTTTCCTTAACTTTAATCACAATTAATTCCAAAATCACATTTTTGGAGTTAGGACAATATTGCGAATTAGGCTGATGATATGTATATTAATTTTAATAAATATTATTGTATACAAAAAATTGGGGTGTAAAATTATAAGCCATCGAGTCCAACATTAGAACTCGGATCACCTATATAGTATTACAGTATAATATACCGACTCTATGTGTGGAGTGTGCGAATAACACGCCTGGAGAGTCTTCTAAGTACTACTCACGATTTTTAACAGTACCTATTAATGTTTACCTACCACTGAAGCTCAAACTTACGACGCGGTGTTTGTCTACATGGTTGCACACTTGCACGTTTATTTCAGTGTGTATTCGATTATTTAGATATCACGATGCAGAACAAATAACATTATCCGCAGGCATATAACACCGAGCTGTTTGCGAATAGATAAATTCTATAATATAATTCGTAACTAGTCGAAACGGAGAGGCGTGGACTTATAATATATCGCTCATATAACATTATGCGCACCCGTACATGGCTCGATTTTGGGGTGGTTAAACGGAAGGTGAAGTAAATCATAGTGATGGCCAACGATATAATTTTCAATATCGATATCGTATTTTTTTCCCCGATATCGTATTGCGATATCGGAAAAATACCAATATCGATATCGAAGCATATTAAAACATTAAAAGTATAGAATACATATTATATTATTATGAGTGTATTGAAAGTATATTAAAAGTATAGAATACATATTGTTTTAATATATTATGAGTGAAAATTAATTAACAATTATATATTATTTTGTACAAACTGAAAAGTATCCAATGTATTTAATCAACAAATTTCTTCTTCGAGCAGTTTTTCCATCAATGTTTCAGAACTTGGGTTCGATTTGAAATATTAAATCAAAAATAACAGTTGATTGAGTCGCTCAGGAGATAATCTATTTATTTTCTTGGAAATGATTGTTCCAGCTTCGCTAAATAACCGTTCACAGGGAACACTAGTGGCCACTATACTTAAGTAGTTTTTGGCTAGTAATGAAACAGGTGAGTATTTAGATTCGTTTTCTTTCCACCAATTTAAAGGATCTTGATCGTAGGGAAATTTGATTTTCAAATTTTTATACTCTTCAAGTTGTTTCATCGTAGGAATAATTACGAAAAAAAACACGACGTCTCACCGCGAGTTAACAACCGGTACTGAATTTAGATTAAATTGTTTGGTGTGGTGAGTTATTTCTTTGGAACATATTAATATCGCCTCGTATCATAATCTACGTTAATCTACGTTAATCTACTTTTACAGATATAATAAAATATTATTTTATTTTATACTGTTTACTCAGTTTAGTGTTTAATCATCCGTAAAACCGCAAAATTCTTAGCCCCGATTAATCACACCGATATTGGATACTTTCGATAATTATTTTTAGATATCGATATCAAAATTATTAAGAAAAAACCTACGATATCAATATCGTATCGAATTATCGATATCGTTGGCCAACACTACTAATTAGGAACTTACAACTGGTAATTGTGGTAAAAACAGAGGTTTACTTGTATCCAAATCTACAACATTTACAAAAACAATACAATTGATTAGTAAACACTATTATTACCAGATAAAACCATAATAGTACCAACGTAGTTCAATGTTCTACCGCTATTCAGATTAAAATGATTTTTGGTGCTAATAATATAGTATTATAATTTATTTATATGTGTACATATTATTATTATTTATTGAAATTGCGTTTGCTATTGTTGCAGTATATATTATATTAAATATTTACAGTGTTATTGACAATTACGAATTACATAATATAATTTTGAACAATGTAAAGAGTTAAGTTAATTGTTAGGTACCATTTTTCTACAACTCCGGTACGGCATCCTGCATTTTCACTAATATCGTTTTTGAATCTAATATAAATTTCAACAATCAGTTAAATTAAAAAATAAATTAAATAATAGTAGGTACCTACATAAATTATTATCATATATTATTAACAGTCGTGTAATACCACGTATTTTATACCATGACCATGGTGGCTGCTGTAATGGGATTACGCAATCATAATCATTTCTTGTAAACGCTCATAATAACAAGAACCACTTATGTTAAAGGCGACCTTCGTCGACCACACCTAGAATAGACGCACCAAACCACTACAACTTACCAAGGGCGCCTGCATGCCACGCGCAGCTCAATTCAAAGGATTCCGCCTCCGTATATATAGAGGCCAGGGCTCCAATACAGATTAGATGTACCAGAGCCACCAAGACCGAGCGAGCCGTTTATGAAACCGGCCATTATACACAACTATACACTGAGATTATCAACTGCTACGAGTCAATTCACGCTACTACAAATTACCACGACTATATTGCTTATTATTTGGTTTTAATAAAACTAAATTTGATTGCTATTTTAAATTGACTATTGTTTAGTGTAAAAGTATATCAGCTTTTGGATTCCTGAAGGGCTGCACGTAACACTGCTTATCGCATGGCTCGTTGCAGTCTTTATAGGTATGTAATTTATCTTGATAAGCTTCCACATCAAATATTTTCAAGTTGTTTTTTTCCTCTATTTGAACTACACTTTATCGATCAAATTTGAAATCCCTATATAGCTTTAGTAGTAGGCACATAATATTATAATGCCATACCTAATAGCGCGCTGAACATCACTTTTATGATGTACCTAACTTACGGTCTTATATTCGAAATTACCAATTTTTCTCTGAAACAGGATGTACAATACGGTTGCGAATTATACAAACTTTATATAATTTTAATATGTTATTAGATACATTGGAAACCCACGTAAGTATATCATATAGGTAATATTAGATTCCGAGTGACATTTACTAAATCATTTGTCAACCACTCTAGTATAGATAATTTTTAATTTTATTTACTATCATGAAAATCGATGACATCCATGACAATACAATATCCACCTGCGTGACCATATAGGATTATTACATATATTTATGCAAAGCGAATGAGGTAGATATAATAGATAGGTATTAATACATAGTACATACTTTATAATAATACGTTTAATATGAGTAACATAATAATATTAATAATATTAATTTAATTAATACAGAACAAAACAGGTGGCGAAGAGCCGACGATGGTACAGACGTACAGTGCATGAAATACGTGAGGCAGACCTACACTAACTTGGTACAAATGACAATGGAGGACATGATAAACGGTTTCAGAATAGTACCAGCGAAAACAAAAGTGAGATAACAGTGTCAGAGGAGGGGATGTTTAAAAACCTTTTAAACTCTATAATATACATATTACTGGTCTATCTTGTCAATAGAACCACAACAACACAGGAACTGCCTGACAAATTTCTTTGTCTGGCGCCAAAATGAACGACGAGGACGTGTGTGTCTCTGACTTTCCGGTTTCCGTACATCGCTGGTGACCTGCTGAAACTTTAGATTTGGTGTTGATCGCCACCCAATATCTGCAGCTGTCTCGCCATCTAATTTTGGATGTATAGGGATGTTTGGCTCAGATACACAGAGCCTGCCTTCCAGAAAACCCTTGAAATCACAATTTTTCGACGGTTCCGGTCTTCGGATATCATTGGTACGGTTAAACTTCAGATTTGGCGTTGATCGCCACCCAATATCTGCAGCTGTCTCGCCAGCTAATTTTTGATGTACGGGGATGTTTGGCTCAGATACACAGAGCCTGCTGTCCAGAAAACCTTTGGAATCAACATTTTTCGACGATTCCGGTTTCCGTACATCGCTGGTGACTTGCTGAAACTTTAGATTTGGCGTTGATCGCCACCCAATATCTGCAGCTGTCTCGCCAGCTAATTTTGGATGTATGGGGATGTTCGGCTCAGATACACAGAACCTGCCGTCCAGAAAACCCTTGGAATCACAATTTTTAGACGGTTCCGGTCTTCGTATATCATTGGTACGGTTAAATTTCAGATTTGGCGTTGATCGCCATCCAATATCTGTCGATTTGGCTGAGGAATTTTCACACATCGCAGCCATGTTAGGCATAGATACACATCTATATGACATATTTATTTGATAATATTATATAGGCACAATTAACGGAGAAGATTATACAGAAATACGTAGGAATGAAATTTATCCGTAATGAACACAAGAAATGAATATTGACAAGTGGTAACTATGTGACACAGATATGAATTGTAGATTTTTGAAACATTCACGTACATGGCAACGATATTTTTGTTGTTTGTGTAAATCTGAAGTATCTAGATTTTTTAACATAATATGGGTACGATAATTATTTATTGAAATTTTGTTTTTTAGTTATACTGATCAAAAATACAAAACTAAAAGTTCTTGTATTGTTTGAATAAAATCTATGATTTGTAAATTTGGGAAATAATACTACATAATGACCAAAGAAAATTAGAATATACAAATCTAAATTTTCCGGTTCGTGCATCTTTTATTCGACGAAGTTATGGATTTCGATACAAATCTAATTTGGGTTAGGGCTAAAACCCCTCGGCGACCCCCGCCGACCGTGTCATTTCCAGTCCATTATATCTTAGTCCAGGGTCAAAACTATATAACTTAGTAAAAATGGTTTTCCTGGGAACCTACACATGCGCATCATAATAACAATGTTGTTTTTTTTTTGAAATGAATTATATAATACTTAAAACATATGAGCCCCTTAGTCCTTTGAACAAAGGACTGAGTAAAGAAGAATTCATAAATTATTGTAAATTCCTATAATAGCTAGGGTTGCCACCTCTCCGGGTTTCACACGGATAATCCGGGTTTACATGTAAACCTACGGGCTGCAACTTGTTAGCGCACATTTTATAATTTTTACCTGAAAAATCGGAACTCATTTGCGCACACGGTTATCCTAAATGTACAACTGGTTTGCGCACACGAAAATAAGGCTATATGACATAAGCACCAAAGGTGCAAAAATGCAAGGCTGGGCATTAACGAGTTAAAAAGTTAAAGTTAAGTTAATAAGTTAATTTTATATTAACTTTTTAACTTAACTAGTTACTTTTGGCTTTTCATTAACTTAACTGTTAACTGTTAAAAATGACATATCATTTGTGCCAAAATAAATATTTTATATAAGTAGTTTTTCTAAATTGATATATTATCTTAAAATTAAAATTAACACATTTTACACAAACATTATATTATATGCATTTTTAACATAATTTATTAACAATTATTATTAATAATAAGCAAGTATTAACATGCATTTTTAACCACACCTATGAATATATTCATAGTCCTAAGTCTGTTAAGTGAGAAGGAAAATGTATGTAGGTACTTTAATAATTTACTTATTAAGAGGGTATTAAAAGGTCAAGCCAAAAGGTAACTGTGCGCAAACCATGTGCATGTTTACGGCTCCACTGTTCCCAAACGAGTGGTAGTTTTGTGCCCAAAAAGTTGTCTTTTTGGTATTTGTGCGCAAACCAGTACCGCCCAACCTACGTCCTACGGGCTACGCGTTCAGTAAATTATTATCCGGGTCATAACATTTTTATATAATTATAAATAGTTTGTCAATGTAACAAGAACATTGATTTTCTTACGCCAAAAGATAAGATAAGATACTATTTATAGTCTTATATAGATTTGTATATGACTTATAATCCAAATATCTGAGTTTAGTTCTTGTATCAGTGTAATCGTTTTTTAATGATCGTTTTTTTTTTTGCTTATTGGCCTGTCTCCGAGGCAGCTATGTTTCAAAGGTGGCAACCCTTATAATAGCCCATAATCTATATACTTACATATCGTTTGATTTTGCCAATATAGTGATCTGTGTAATACATCTTTCCGAGCTTCTGACCACCAGAGTTCTAGACTAATAATTAAGTGTTTATAGATATTATTTTCTCAAAAATTCGTTTTTGGATTTTATAGATAGTAGCAACTTTTTTTTTATGTATCAATTGGAAACTTAGAACTCGATGCAATTTTTCATTAATTAACTCAATGAGTTTGATCACTATTGTTTCAATCTTTCTTAGTTTCCATGAACGACACAGCTGCAGTTGATTGATGATATTGGCACAGATTATTGGTGTGTTCGAATCCGCGCGGAAAGTGCATTCCTCTATCTAGGGAAAGCATGGTTGGCGGCACTGCTCATTATCACTTATCGTACTATTCAACAGAACAACTTATTGTCTAATGGTACAACTGCAGTAGTGCCGACTGCCCAGGACCGAGGCTATGGCAGGGTTAATTTCTGTCACCTTATAACCTACATTTTCCGTATAGAATGATAAGAGAAATATGTTATTTAAAATTTGTTCATCTGTCTATTTAATGTGCTTTAATATCTAAGAGTGGTCTGTTGTATGTATTTTAATTGTATTAATAGGTTTCTAGTTAACTTGTAGAAATGTCGCAGAGATTTTTCACCATATCGAAAAAGGTTGAGCAACTGTTGATGAATGGTATTCGTACGGGCCAATTAGACAATTTCGCAGTAAGTGTTAGAAATCGTAATACTTAAGAGCCATTTTAAGCTCTTCAGACTGTTCTGTAAATTAAGAACGAAAGGAAAATGTTAAGTTTTTGTTTGTTTGTTTTATAGTTACACCGTCAATTGAGTATCTTGAGCAGGCGTCAAGTGTTACCAAGTTTGAACACTGTGATCAAACAGTGGACAAATCTGTGTGAAAAACCTCCAACAGGTTTTGAAAAGTATTTCAATAAAGACAAAAAAACCAAAAAAGATGATCAAAAGTCTGACAGCTCTGCTAGCAAACCGACCTCTTTTGACAGTGCGTTTAAAAAGAAAATCAATCGAATGTCACAAGGGTAAATATATTTTATAACTTAATTGAATACTCATCATCCTATTGTTGTTAGAATAAGGGTTTTTTATAATTTATAAACAAAACTGTATTAGATTAGTGATGGGTATTCATAATTTTGTGGGGATTGTTATTGGATAACATTATATTATTTTTTAAAACATCTTTTCTGATTAGTGACTATATTATAATAGGTATATTTAATTTTTTTTTTTGTAATAAATTTAGCCAATATTTAGGCTCATTTTATACTCCAAATTAATACCTAACTTGATATTTTTCTAGTTTGCTTTTATTACATTCTTGACATCAATGAATCACAAACTTTATACCTACGATTAGTTTATAATAATTCTTAAGGTAGACCTTATCAATAAAATTATAATAAATCAATCAAAACAATATTACCTTACATAATAATTTGTCATATTTTAATATTATACCTTATTGATAGAAATAATGATTAAATTAATTGGTTTGTTCATATTTTGCAATATGGTGCAATTGGTACTCTTATTGTTTATTGAAATGGTAAAATTCCAACAATCATAGCAAAACCACTTTTATCTTTGAATTTAGTTGTAACTTAAATATTTATGTTTGTTATGTTATTCAATTTAAACAGAAATTGTTTTTATATGTTAATTAGGTATCAACAGACGGGCGACCGGCCAAGGACGACGAATTCATGTGCAGCAGTTGTATAATAGGTAAACAAAGTCGTAAATCATTTAGTAAAAGTAATACAGAGTATCACAATGTCGGTGATTTAATTCATGCAGACCTATGTGGACCAATGGAGGTAAGCTCTATAGGCAGTTCAAAATACTTTTTGTTATTCAAAGACGACTACTCGCATACAACGGTATATTTTATTAAAAATAAATATGATATTAAAAATATTTTTGAGACGTTCATAAAAAGTGTTGAAACAGAAACAGGTTCTAAGGTCAAAATATTACGAACGGATAATGGATTAGAATTCGTAAATAAAGAAATTACCGGTATTTTACAAAAACACGGGATTCGACATCAGTTAACAGTTCCCTACACACCACAGCAAAATGGAAAAGTGGAACGGGAAAATCGTACAATAGTAGAGTCAGCGAGGACAATGATTTGTGCGAAAAATTTGGATGTATCACTTTGGGCGGAGGCGGTAAACACGGCTGTTTACACGCTTAATCGAACAGGAACCAGTTCAGTTAAAAATAACTCACCATACGAGTTATATTATAAGGCAATGCCAGACATTAAACACTTACGAGTTTTTGGTACTGTCGTATATACACACATACCAAAACAAAAACGTAAAAAGTGGGACCCTAAAAGTGAAAAAGGAATATTTGTTGGCTATTCGGATAATACCAAAGGTTATCGTGTGTATTATTCGAAAACAAATACAATTTCAATGTCTAGAGATATTATATTCGAAAACGAAGGTAATAAATTGGAAAATATAATTACAGACAAATTAGAATTCACAGATACTCAGACTCAAATCGAGGACGATCCGGTCAAGGTCGAATTGACGACGGTCGACAACAGGAGTGGCATGGTGCTACGTGATCGGAATACATTAAAAGCGCCGATCAGGTATAATGTGTCGTCGTTCGTCGCCAATCTCGTTGAACCACTAAATCGTGATGAAGCGATAGCTGGCCCACAGAAAAACGAGTGGGAGCACGCTATGAGTGATGAAATTACGTCACTACACAAAAACAACACTTGGTCACTAGTTAATTTGCCTCAGGGCAAGGTATTCCTTATAGGCAGGCAGTAGGTAGCTTACTGTTCTTATCACAGGTAACAAGACCAGATATAGCATATGCAGTAAACTTTGCTAGTCGTTACTTAGCAAAACCAACTAAAGTTCATTGGAACAGAGGACCAGATTGCGGACATTCTAACCAAGCCTTTGGTTAAGGAACGATTCGAGAAGTTGCGGTCAGCCATAGGAGTGACTACAACAGTTTACATTTCACCAAATCAGACAGTCGAAAATATAAGAAAATTCTTGCACTTTCATTTGTTACAGTGAAGCAGTTTCACTTATTTTAAACGAAAAGTATCATGAATTAGCTCTTATATTGACAGGAGTCAGGAAACTTTAACGTTAACTTTGCTGATACACAAAAATCACAGCCTCTATTACAGTTTCTAAAAGGTAATTTTAATTTGACAATGATCTCTTTCAATCTACAACAAGATATGGCACTACATTAGATGCAGTTTTCTCTCGATTTATCGATCCTCTTGAATCAAAAACATTTATATCATATTGTAGTTATTATAAGCCTATTTTTTCATCAATTTCACTAGAAAATAGACAAAATATTACGATTGAACCCGTAGATGATAATAATGTTGAAGTTGAACTTGTACCAAATATTGAAAGCGTTGCTGTTGAACCCGAAGAAAATAGTTAATATTTATGTGATAATTTATAAATTAAAAGTTAATGTAGAACCTGCACGAGCTATTGAAAGTGTTACCATTGTATTAGTAAAAAATAATTAATATTAAGATGACATATGCATATATTTCATTGTTATATTGTAATAATATTTTGCATTTATAATAAAATAATGACTTAACATTGATACAATTTTATTATCAATTACATTTATCATATCATGCCATCATAATATCTAACCTGAAAATATAGTTCTCACTTTTTGCGGTACGTCCCGCGACGCAAAAAGTTTTTTTTTATATATATAAAAAGAAGAATGGGCTGAAAGACTGGTCAAACGCCCAATGTTTGCCTCGTTTCCTTCAGTAGCGATGGCGTTATGCAAGTGGATGTACTCGTCTGATCGTAATTTCGACTGATTAAAACGAATGAGATTGAAAAGCTCCATTAATATTCAAATTAAAAAAAATAATAATAAATAAATATTATTCTCAACTCCTATAACATAGCATTAATAAACAAAAATTTCTATCGTAAATCTCAAAATTCCTATTTTAGCACCTACCAGGGGTGATCAATTCCCTTTTTAAATTATGGCCTAAAACCTTCTCTGTGATGTCCTCTTTAATTAAAAAAAAAAAATGCAAACTTCATACAAACAAACGCTATCATTTTATATGTATAACATTACAATTTTTACTAAGTTAGAATATAAACCAGATATATTATAAATGTTAGAACGATAGGTGCGGCCCATGGACAGATGCTAGGTTCTAACATACCTTGTTCCTCCATATTGTGGATCATACTTTATATCAACTCCGTATTTTCCTTGCTGTAAGGCTAAGAGTTTACTGGCACTGGTTTTCCGTTCGTTAGTCTTATTCCGTGTTCACAAATCCGTGTTCTTCTCACGATAATTTTTAAACACTGATGGGTACTTCCTTAATATTACACATTTACACGTAGGGCTTATTCATCTGGTCCGTTTTGGATTTCCAGTTCTGAGAGATTTTGTTTTTCCCTTGTTGGATTTTATTGTCTACGCCAACTCACCATTGTTCGCTTTTCTGCTAATAAATAGATTATGGCTGCATTGTAATTCCATGCCACTTGTAGTTTCGTCAGGAAGTCATGGCTGATTAGTATATTTGCTATAAATGGGTTCCTTTAGGAATACCTTTTTGATGTCCACCTCCAGCGAGTTTGGCTTTGTTCCGGCATTTACCATTTATTTCCCGGTTGGGCCCGTCAACCACCCTTACGATCAATTTTCGGTCATCTGCTTGTTTTCCGTACTTTTCAGCTAACCATGGTCGCACATACGTTTTTTCGGCTTGTGAGTCGAACAAATCAACAACGATTCGGTCTGGAAATCCCATCTCTATTATGGATGTGGGCGTTTCCGTCGCTTTTGGTTAAATCTGTGAAGCTCCTATGGGTTTCTCTGCTTTTATTGGAGCTAGTAGTTACTAGTTGATGATATTCATCATGAAGTTTGAGGCAGTTTTCTGCTACCAGCACTTGCTCCTCGGCGTCTACCTTGACGTTGTCTTGTGTCTGCCCTCCACTATTTTCAATAGTCTTGGAGTGATCTAGACCTTATGGTACCCACATATGTTATCATTTAAGTGTACGCTGAATGTTTTCACTGTTTCATACAAGCAGTCTGTGACTGAAGTACGTCTGTTTCTTGTCGGAATATTGAGGTCTCCATTTGTGGTAACCATAAATAGTAAGCTTTCTATGACTTGACTGTTCTCAAGGTCAGTGATGTAGGTTTGTCTCCTTAGTCACTGTCTTTGTTTTTTTTTTTTTTGGACGTGGGTTTTTACCATTATCCCGTTTCCCGACTTCTTGGTTTTCCAGAATTCGTTTAGTTTATTAGGAGTTGGCGTTTTTCCTTCAGGTTTCTCCGGTTAGTGTTTTAACATTGAGTTTTCCCTTTCCTCTAAACTGGGTTTCCCACCGTATACGTTGCTTCATTGAGCTCCATAAATGTTTTAGGTGTTTGTACCCATATTAAGTTTTGATGTACTGGTCGGAACAGTTCAATGATGGTATCCGCTACATTTTCTTCGTCCAATCCGATGTTCATTCTACGGAATAGTTGTATTTTTTGTAACACGAAATCCCCGGTGATTGTTCGTAGAGTTATTTCCTCCCCATCAGTTCTATGTGGAGTATTACTTTAACTTGTGGTTCGTTGAACTTGTTCATAAATTGTTTATGGAATTATAGAATAAAGAAAAAAACTATATATAATGGAGAAAAATATGAGTTAGGAAACAATGTAATAGAGAAAAGAGTACTAACTCTAAAAGAAAGACAAAAATACCTGTACAATGATAAGGTAAACAATTCCCCAATTAGCTGATCGAGTTTCGATTCTATATTGTTCTATGAGGTCCATGAAGTTAGCAGAAAAATGTGAGCACTCATTTCCGCTATACCACCACTATTTAGTGCTCAATTAGTGCTATACAACCGTTGCGTTTTAAAAATTAGTGCTATACCCAGTAAAAAATTAGAGGGGGGTCGAATAGCACTAATTCAGAACTAAATTTTGGTGCTGAAAGTACACCCGCTGGGACGAAATGCGGAAAATCCCAAACCTCGGAGGAAAACATAGCACTAATTTTGAAAACGGTAGCATCGAATAGCACTAATTCAGTACTAAATTTTGGTGCTATAGCGGATTTTGGCGCTGGTGTTGAACCCACTACGTGAAGTTAGCGGAGAAAGGTAAGCCCCCCTGTAATTTTTTACTGGGTATAGCACTAATTTTTAAAACGCAGTGGTTGTATAGCACTAATTGAGCACTAAATAGTGGTGGTATAGCAGAAATTAGTGCTCACATTTTTCCGCTAACTTCACGGACCTTGTTTTATGCTACTACTACTACTACTACAGTAGTACCTATGTACATGTGTCACTAGAGTACTAGACATCAATTATAATGTATAATTGTAAGTTTTAATGTGAATTAATAAATGGTGTTTTATTAATAATGTAATTCATTAAATATACAAATAAATCTTCATCATGTGTTGGCAACACTGAGTCTACGCAGTGCAACAAGTATCCTACTATTACAACTGTAAAGTAAATGTCGTCAAATGCGGCGTCTAGTGGGAGGTTTTAAACATTCATTATCAACAGTCATTACCACCAACGTCATTCTCCTCAAATTTCACTTCATTTATCTTTCATTCAGCCATTCTCATAGTCTCGTTGTCGACCAACACTACATAACAACATCATGGTGAGTTGAAATAATTTGCTATAATTTTCAAACGCTTATAACAGAAGCTGTACAGTTTTAGAATAATATATATAATGTACTGATGTATGGTATTAATTAATGTATGGTATTAAGAGAACGCTACCCATACATTTGTTGTCTCCGTCTTACACACTCATGGCATAGCAAATTGTAGTTCACTAGTTTCAATAGTGTGCTGTTAGTTTTGATACTAGAGTGAATTGACCTATCATAAATCTTTTAGGTAAGAACAATATCTGTGCTTAAGCGTTGCCGATTTTTCAAAATTTTCATTTTCAAGGGGTATGTGAAATATTAAAAATTAGAAAAGATCATATCTGGCTTGAAAATTAAAATATAGAATAATAGCCAATGCTTAAGCACAGGTAATGTTATTATCTAAAAAATGTATAATAGGTCAAATCACTCTAATATCAAAACTAACATCACACTATTGAAACTAGTGAACACAAATTTGCTATGTCGTACGTGTGTAAGTTGGGAGACAACAAATGCGTGGGTAGTATCCTAATGATAACCTAATGATAAACTGAATAAAGCCCGGCTAAATTATAAATTGTGATGTCTCTGTAGTAATTCGATAGGTAGCGCTAGGTGGCATTATGCTTTGGTTAGAAACTTGCACGTCGCTTGTGGATATTACTTAACACATGATATAATGTTATTTTATCATGACTTAACATAGCTAGGCCCATGGGCAACCATAGTACCAATTGTCATGATATTAACATATTATGCCTATGTCGTACGTTTTCACTTGTTTTTATCTGATTTTTATTTTTTATTTTTAGAACAAAGAAATTAATGAAAACCCCGGGCAGCACAATACTCCAGATTCTCAAATATATAATAAAATTAAGTCAAAATCCAGACTTATATATTCGTCAGTTCAAGTGGCAAATTTTATTCGCCACAATCATAAAACCAATCTAAATTTGCCTCCACCAAATTGGTTAAAAAGTGAAGGAGAATCATATGGCATACGATACTCGACTGGTGATTTGCATGATTTTTCTAGGTAAAGTATTAAGAGAATACTAATCTTCACAAATACCAATACATTTAATTAAATTAATTTTGGTTTTTTTGTTAAGTTTTCAAATTGCTAATATGTTTCCTGAATACATTGGCAAAGTGGACATTGTGTCGAATTCAGAAAATATTAAGAACCTGTGTAAGATAGCACATGATAAAAAATCTGTAAGTAAATAATAATTTTTTTTTAATATTTCTGACTTAGTACTAATTATATAAATGTGTGAAATAAAAAGACATGTATATTTTGCTATGCCATATTATTTTATAATATAAAACATAAAAAAATATTTTTTTAAACTACAGATAGATGAATCTATATTAGGTATATAAATATACTTATACTTAGTTATTCTAATAAATAAAACGTTTTCAGTTAATTCCACTGTCTTTAGGATTAAATTATTCATATTTTTTTTAAAGGTGAGCATAATGGTTCATAGAATTGATAATACATTACTATTAGATGAATTTGATGTTGAGAAACACTTGATTGTAGTAACTAATGAAAAATGGGACTGGTTAAAAAAATTCTTTTACAACACTATAGTAAAATCCGCTGATACTAAGGTAAGCATAGATGTATTTATAGTGGATTGATTGGCACCGGTCATCTTTTTTATATTGCCATATTATGCATTTTAATTTATACAAATTATCTATAATAATTAAAATATTTATATGTATAACATCATTTTTATGTATATCATGTAATAGTAATTGAACAATAGTCAATAAGCATGGTTGAAATAATATTAAGTTGCGTGTAGTGATAGAATGAAGAGACCTCCCATAGAGGGTCTTCGATATAAAATATTTGAATAATGGAATTATTCAGTGGCGGAACCAGGAATTACAGAGTGGGAGGAGGATATTGTTGACCTTTTCTTTTTCCCCCTATTTTCCATATTATATGGTACAATTTTTAGCAATGATAATTTTTTCAAACTTTATAAATTATTTTTCTGTTATACATTTTTCAAAGCTAACATTAGATATTTTAATAGAAGGTTCCCAACAAGTTTCTACCGCTATCAAAAAGAACAAATTCACCGGAAAGTCATGCTATATACATCCATGAAATATTTTTTGATTTTTAATAATATTTTTTTTAACTATTAAATTTGATTATTTATACAAGACTTATGCTAAGCTGACAAAATGGCTCTGTTATTATGAATACATTAGATAGGTACATTATCTGCCAGTGAAATACTGACATGGATTTAACTAAATCAATATTTTGATATTTAATAAGTTTACTGAGAGGTAACTATGCCACTAGAATTATTAGTTAATTATAGGGCCCAGAATTATATGCAATGAAAACTTACAGAATATGCATGCATGTACCTACTTATTTCATTGAAACATGCAGATACAAAATAACATTCATATTTATTAATTTGAAACTTATTTAAAAATCTATGAAATGTATTAAATAAAAAAATATTAAATTATTTAACTCTAAATTTAACTTCCATAGATAAACGGCTCATTACACTTCATATTGTACTTTGAGTAGGTATTTTTTTTATCTGAATAAAGTCACAAACGAAAATCAATAAAAAAAAAAATTAGTACATTTTTACTAGTTTTGAGTTCAATATAAATTACCTATTTTGTAAAATATTCAACTGTTATAAATAGGTATGTATTCAACCTAAATATACTTACAACAGCCAACTGTAAACCAAAGAGTTATAAGTCATGTTAATTTCTTATCAAATTTATTTTAACATCAAATGTACAAAAATATAAATGTACAAATTTAGTACAGACCCTGATAATAATCACAGTTCATAAATATTTGTATACCTACTAGAAATTCGCTAAACTAGACTGGTTTAAAATTATCCCCACTTATCCCTCACCAAATTAATGAACCATTTAAATGATAATATGGTCCAAACATCCCGGTGCATTATTTTTCACACCAGTTGAGGCCAGGAAATTTTAAGTTATTATTTAACATAAGAAATACAAAAATTCCAAATATAGGTACCTAATACATGATTCAATTTTAAATTATTTATTATTATTAGTATTTGATAGGTAATT